GTTATCACCATCATGGCCCGTTTAGTGCTTACTGCTGAGAGCAGGGAGATATTTATACTGCTGCAAAAATAAATATCCAATAGTGTTGTATTACATACACTGTCACACTAAACAGGCAGTCTTTCCTGAGAAGGGATCATGGTGGAATAAAATGAAGAGACGTTAAGATAGTGTGGATGCAAAGACAGGCAGTCTCAAGGCAGTTATAAAGGGATGAAAGGAAATAAAAGAGTAAAAAATAACGATAATAATAAATAAAAACGTGGCAGCTCTTTACGCTGACAATGAATTTCATATGATTCTCCATGAGAGGCCTCTTCTATACCACACTGCGAGGGGTGTGTTTTACAGCTTTATCACGCTTGCCTTTAACTTGCTGTGCTCCACGCAGTCTCAGACGTACAGAACAGAGTTATACATCCTCAGGGAGCCGTCCGTAAATTACTTTAGGCTGTCCTGGCTTTTTATGCTTGGCAAGTGGGCTCCACAATAGTTTTTTTAGTGCTGCGATTTACAATATGCAGACCTTTTCTGGTGCATCTGATTGAAAGCCAGCAGATCTATAAATCTGTCTGGCGCTGGTCACTGTCAGAAAATATGGGGCAAGCAGATGACAGTTAACATTAATGCATTAAGTGAACAAGACAAGACCGCGCACTTCCGGATGTGAGGTAAAAGAAGGCGGCTTGCTCCTCGAGGCCTGGGTGGCAGCTGCTCTTTCTGTAGGGCTATGGGGAAACAGATGAGCCCAACTTCAAATAGGTTCCACTAATCTCCATAGTAGAAATTATGATGGGGTCCAAAAACTGAATGACCCTGGAAACTAGAGCTGCATCATATGGACAAAGTATTAGCTGTGATTATATTGCTACATATTGTGACTGAGATATGCCTTTAGATATTTTAAAACACGCCAAGGAATCAACAGTGACATGGTTAAAGAGTGGCCCGCGTAATTTTTCCTAAAATTATAGGACTGGGACCACTTAGCAATTTACCAATAATATAACAATGAAGCTGGTAGAATTTATTGTTTGAGCATTCTGCATTTCAATTCATGATCTGAAATTCCAGTCCTAGTTTTACTTAATCTACTCATGCAGCATGAGTTGCACCATGACTGACTGTAAGGCTGGTGCACTGCTACACATAGGAAACCTTTTTTTTTCTCATTGACAGTTTAATGTTTAGTCATCTTTAGGGTCTTTTTCGAGTTAAGGATTTTAAATAGTGAATTTTTAACTCACTAAAACTCTGGCTTTAATGCACTTTGTATTAAAAACTTAGTGGAAGGAGATAAAGAGGAAGAAGAAACTGATTCCTCCAGTAGTAATGTTAGCAAAGTTATCATTTTTCTCCAAGCCACAAACACTGGGTCACGACCCATTCTGTTAAAAAAAAAAAAATCATCATCAACTCAGATGAGCTCTGCAGCAGTGCTGTGCATTGGAGGCTCTGCAACTAAAATATCTGTGGTTTAAAATAATGGAAATATATATATTTATATTTAATTTTGTCCCGATTTATTATTTTTTGTAAAATTTCTTATTGTCTTAGCCCTAGAAAATCATTTACCTTGGTTGGACTTAATAGGTGCGTTCCAAAGCCTAGGCTGCAGCTGAGGTAAGGCAGGTCCTCGGAAGGAGTGTCCTATGAAGACTCCTCCTAAGTAATGAGGCTGCGTGGTGACATCACCAGAAAGGTGCCACCTCTTGTGAGGGAACTGCGTTGTGTTTGTTGCTATGGTAGCTAATGCAGCAACAAGTATAACATAAAATACTTACTTATAAATATGAGCAAAACTGTCACATTTCACTGAATTAGCCTGTATGTTTTCTCTGTCTTCCCGTCTTCTCTGTCTTTAACCGAGTCTTTGAGTATCTGTGCACATCCTTAATCACAGTCATGATTAATAAACCATTCATTCTGCCGCCTTACAAAAGACCATGCAAAATCACGCTGGTTAAGCTTGCTGTTCAGTTCCATTCAAACGGCACAAATCGATGCCCCAAAAATTCTCCCTGGTACAGCAGCGGGAGAAGAAAAAGCTGCACAAATATTATGTTTGATATGGCATGGGCCTGGTGCTGCAAGACATGTTCATGTTAACTCTGCTTTTCTGTGACAACTTCAATAACCATACTGGGTTTGGCTCGGAGAGGAAAAACAGTAAAGACCACACAAAACACATACAATAGAGTCGCAGAAATAGCTACTGTGTGTTTAAGAATTGGGAGAGCATAAATGAAGGATGGAGCCAGAGCGCTGGGCCTGCAGCTGAAAAGGGGAACGGAGGGGCTACTGTCTCTCCCAGGAGCGCACACACACAGGAGACCGCCTGATTTAAGAGCCCTCTGACTCAACGGGCTAAAGGTCAAAACAATGAATGTTAAGAGCTACTTTTCTCCTCGTAGCCAGGCAGAGCACTGTGGAGTTATGGGGTGAAAGGTTAAACCTACAGCGTGTGTCACAGTTGCCTATATGGCCCCTCACAGATAACTCTTTGAGGGTATACAAACTAGCGGACCCTTTGAAGAACACCAATCCCACTGACACCATCATTAGTGCCTAAGCTTTTTGCCTTGGAGGGTCAAAAGCACAATGTCTGAGATGGACCCAGGGCCAGAAAACAAAGCAATATAGAAATGAAGAAGTAGGACTGGTTTCAAATCAGGTTTTTAACTTTTTTTTTTTTTTACATTATATCTTGTTACTATAGTACATAAAAAATACATTATGTAAGCTATACAGAGTATAAAAATATGAGTTAAGTTATACAGAGTATAAAAATATGTTGAGGGCAACTTTCTGGTGGACCAAATCAAATGTCCTCAAGGGTCAGCTTAGGCTTGTGGGTCACTCTTTGGGCAGCCCTGGTTTAAAGAGAAAAAGTTTGGCAAATTTACAGAATTTTTTCACTTACTCCAAATGTAGTTAATCAGCCAAGACATGTTTGGTGGCCGAAGTTCACTTCTTTAGTTTTCTACAAGTTACAAAGTTAATGTAGCTAACAAGTAGGGCTAAGAGATTAATTGTTTTATAAAATCAAAACACTGCAATCTTCCAACAGCAAGAGCTGCAGTTTCAATTACAGCCTACATTATCAACACTGTCGTCATAAGTTTTAAGTGGAGAAATTTAACCCAAAACCACAAAGCTTGTGAACATCCTCTAGATGAGTTAGACCAATCAGAAGCACTCAAGTGCTGTGACATGACAACCACAAGTTGCTGGCCAAAACTGGTGGCGTTCAAGCCTCAAGCCAGAAAAAAGTTAATTTTTTGGTCTTTTTGATGATTCTTCAAGGGTTCTGTAGTAAAAAAAATGGTTCTATACAGAACCATGAACACTCAAAGAACCTTTTGCATGCTTAAAGGGTTCTTTGCATCATGAAAGGGTTCTTCAGATTGATGGACAATGTGATACAGATGGACAATGTGATACAACCTTTTTGAAAAGGGTTCTATATAGCACCTAAAAGGGTTCTTCTACTGTTACAATGACAAGCTTGTTACAATAGAAGAACCCTTTGGGTGCTATATAGAACCCTTTTCGAAAAGCTTCTATATAGCACCATCTATATCAATCTAAAGAACCCTTTCATGATGCAAAGGATGCTTTAGCCAAGGGTTCTTTGAGTGTTCATGGTTCTATATGGAACCATTTTCTTTACTAAAGAACCCTTGAAGAACCATAATTTTTAAGCGTGTACCTTTGCCTATTTTTATAGATAACAGGACATCACACAGTGTCAGAGACCAGAAAAACTTGTCAAACCATTACTCAAATATACTATAAGCCTCGTTATTCCTGCGCCTGATGATATTCACTGCATAAACAAAAGTTGTTGCCTCATTTGTTGGTTCTTTGATGAAGGGAAACTGCAGGCTGTCACAATCAGTGTTTTCATTTGTTGGTGGTAAATGCATGACAAGGTGTAAGTAGGGGCATAATGGTGTTTATCCAAGCAATGAAAGCTACTGGCTTTGAAAGCGTAGTTATTTACTTAACTTTGTCCATTTCTCGTATCTCGGTTGAGGGTCTGGAGCGGCTGTGAGCTCAGACGCAGAGGGCAGGACTGCTGGGAAAGTGTGGGAGGAGGCTGACATTTTTGAGTGCTCAGTGTAGAGCAGCAGGGAAAGGAGGTGGCCTGAGCTACGACTATTTATACTTAATTACACATCTCCCTTAAACCATTTCCCAGATGCAAATGTCTAAAGGCTTTGTCATACCATGCATCAGCTATAGGGTGTCATGCCAATTGTTCTCATAAAATGTGCTACTGCCAGCCCTTTGAAAAGAAAAACAAACAAAAAAAAAAACAAATGCAGTTCTCCAAAAAAATTGGTCAATTAAAAAAATAAATAAAGAAAAACAACAGAATTTTAGAGCTGGTGTGGAAAACTGCACGTTTTAACCCAGAGCCGCGCACTATACCGTTAATTGTTATCATTATGTCGGCTTTGAGATGCTGGTATCACAGAAGGCTGTAATATGCAAATGAGCCCTCTAGCTAATCACAGCATGCTTTTACTGTAACCATCTTGACACAATCACAGCTCCACATGTGGGTGTTTGCCTGAATGACAGTATTCATGGAATCCAAAAAAAGCTAATTATTTTGGTCAAAACGATGCAAGCCAATCTATGCCACATTATTTATTTATCAATGCGTTTTTAAAAGGGCCTATAATCATGTAAAAAGTCATTAGGAGCCTTTCAGCCTGGACTGCTTTTCGAATGAGATGCAATAGTGGGCAGCCAATCAGAACAGAGGACATTTACGTATATCAGTCTTAAAGGCACAGTAACAAAATCAGGCTGTTTAATTTTAAGGGATACAATTTGTTATAAGTGGACTTCAGGGGGAAAATCAGGAAAGGTGAGGAATATATTCTCTTTAACATGTTTCAAGGAATATTGCAGTTTTCCATATTATACAGGCCTATGAACACTGAACCATTCTTCCATCATTAAAATAGCATTTTCCCCTGACTTACCAGGTTAATGAGCTGGGTGTGCACTATGTCCTCCACCAGGGCGGCGGTCTCGTGCAGTGGTCTCCTAGAATCACCCAGAGCATACCTGCAACAAAAACCACAAACACTCAGAACACTACAAACCACTTACAAAGAGCCATTTGACTATCCTAAAGCGACTAAACACTCACTCGAGCATTCGGGGGAGAGGTTTTAATTAAAAGAAACTTATATATCTAAAATGTTCATTTCTTGTACTGCTAAAAGGCTACTTATCTGCACTGTTTTTCCATGTTCACAAGAAAGGTTTACACCAGGGGTTAACATCCCTCCCTGTGGAGATCTGCGTTCCTCCAGGTTTCACCTCCAGCCCAATTCTAACACACCACATTCAGCTAATCAAGGACAGCTAATCAAGGTCTATTATCACATTTCCAGGTGATAGTATATCTGTAGTGGGGAGTTGGTGTTGAAGTGTTATTAGCTGGCTTTGTCAGGCCAACTTCAAGTTTGATCACAAACTTTCCTTTTCTAGTTAAAATTGTTGTTTCCCATGATGTATAGCAATGCACCATATAATACAATACAGTACACTACAATATCAATAGCTTTAGTATCAGTAAAACTACCATGGCCCAATGACACAACTGGAAACAGGAAACTTGCAGTATAAATAATTTAGCAAATAAATAAATAAATACACAGACAAAATACCACTAAGTACACTGTTTATTTTGTATTTCCACATTTGCTACATCCTCAACAAAAGCAGGAGTTTGTGCTTCTATTTTTTTTCTGAATGATCTGTAGATGTTTTCTGGGTGAACACAAAACATTTAAAGACACATTTTACTGTACTATTAGTTTCCCATTTTTAAAAGAGAACAATTTTAGTACAGTAAGAAGCTACAAAAGAGTGGGCAAATTTCTCAGCACTGAAGCTATCACTCCTTGTAATTATAAACAAAGGGAAATATCTGGGTTTGATCCCAGTGAACATACCCTTTACCTTTTATTTTACAGTGAAAATGCAGCAAATTCAGGTGTTTCTGTGCAAAATGTAGCTGAAATCAATATTACAGATCTGTTGTCTTACCATACTAGTTATATCTTCTTTAAACTGTGGGTGATCAATGCATCACTAATAAAAATTCATATCAATCAGCTGGCTACATACCCCCCAAATAAGCAGAGCTACTCGGCATAAACGTACTCACTGCCAGAGTGCTGTTTACAAATTCTACACGCCTTTATTCACAGCTTTTCCCACACTGTGCCTGCCAAAGCTTCCCACATTCAGTGTGCTTAATATCGACACAGTGGTTTTATCCAATAGAAGTGCAAACCACTGAACGGCCACAGACTCTCTCCGTTTAAGAGAGAAGACGACGAAAACTACCATGAGAAGCTTGACACTTAGAATATGAGGCTAAATGTACTAATGGCATTGGTCTGAATTCTTTAGTGACGCGTAACAAATGATTTACTTTAATTTAACTACAAGGGCAGAATTAAATTCTCCCACACAAAAGGTCAGTCTTTCTTATGAAACTGCATCACAGTTTACGGCTAAGTGCATCACTCTCAGATAAAAAATTAATAATCATGACCTCATTTTATGAATTTTCCATTTATACAGTCAGACGAGACTGAGTGAGGCCAGCCAGCATCATTTTTAATCTTAAATTTTCAAGAAGAAGCCGTCCATGAAACGTTTGCCCCGTGATGTAAACTACAATGGTTCACATTAGATGCCGTGACTCTCTGGTAAGACAACAAATATCATTAAGAACCATCAACTCATTTTTTTTCCCCTTTCTTTGTTTCGGTGATGAATAAAAGAACACAATCACCTACTCTTGAAAAATGGTCCTATACATCTGGATACTGGGTATCTCAACCATGACCCTGTCAATTAACTTTTATTACATCCCTGTTTCATTTCTTTGCTTCACATAAATGTATTTTAATCCAAATCACTTCCAGAGGAAAATCAGTAATTTACTCCAGTTGTATAATATATTCCATTTGTTTAGTCACAAAGCATTTTAGGTCTGTCCAGGAAACTAGCGAGACAACAGTCTGACCATATAGGAGTTTGCAGGCTGGACAGTGATCAATCATTTTCATATCCGCAAAAATGAGAAACAATTTTCCTGTTGTTTCAACTCCTTCTCTCGTCCAAAATAAAGTGCACTTTTATGGAGCTGGACGGAGTTAATTTTCAACGTCTGATCAAAACACTTTCATGCAAAGCAAATACAGAGACAGAAAAGTGGGAAAACAACAACAAACAACGCAAGAGCATCAAATACATGGAGCAATAAACAGGACTGTAATTGTGAACATGCGCCATGCGAGCCTGGCTCTTCTCCCTTCACTCCAGGCTAATAAGAGGACTGTTTCCTACACAGTAGTAGACGACATGAGCACAGTTCAGAAGTACATAATCCCCGGCATGTTGATCTGAGCAGAATCATTGATTTGGCTCGTGGCCCCTGTCTGTTTACTTCAACAGGCAGTGCGAGTCAGTCTGCACAAAAGATGCTAAACAAAAGCTTGCCAGAGCACAACTGCTTTGCTAAACTGGGCTGGATGTTTGGGTACAGGCTTTAAGTTCAAAGTGCACGCAGCACAGTGGACGCCGATGTTTACGAGCTTGCGGTGCAGCAACAGCCTCCTCCTGCCTCTCTCCATGTCACCAGCCACCCATTCTTACTCACAAACGCCGAGGCCACCGAGACGAAGGTAAACACACTGATTTGACAATCCTGACTTTTTTCCCTTTTTTCCCTTACCGCAAACAAAAGCTCTTAATAAGTGTGGGTCAAGGCTTCTTGAGATCATAAAAAGTTTCGGTACACTTTTTAACTACAGTCAACACAAGAACAAAGCTTTGAATCACCCACTGACGCATGATTTACTACGACTTATCTCTTTCCAAGGATTCATCAGTTACGTACAACAACATTTTTTTTTTTACATTTTGTTCAAATAAAATACATAAAATAAAAAAAGAAATATATATATATATATATACACAATACTGTGCAAAAGTCAGAGACCATCCTTCATTCATCCTGGCAAAACAGCCATTAAGTACACGTTACTCATGTTTCAAAAGACATTTCAGAGGAGATTTGGTAAAATAATGCACTTTTTATAAGGAAGGCGGAAGTCAAATGTGAAAAAAAAACAGAAGATTCCAAAACTGAAGATTCCAGAACTGTCACTATCAGATACCTTAAAGCTTTCATCTTTGAGAGAGAGGACAAAATCAGCTCCACTCTTGCTTCAGATCTGTAAAATCCACAGGTGTTTCTGTCCATCCTTCCACTGTGAGAAGACAACTCAACACTATGAGTATGATAGGATGTGTAGCTGTCAAGAAGCCACTACTGAGAAAAGGAAATAGACCAAAAAAGAAGGAAATTTGCAAATCAAAAAAAGCTGCTGGTGTTCTCAGAACAACAGACCGACCACCCCAGAGTCCAGACCTCAACATCACTGAATGTGTTTGGGATTACTTGGATTGTAAGAAGCAGAATATGCAAGCACCTTCTAAGGAGATCAGGGAAAATATCTTTGCAGATTTCTTTAGAAAACTTAAAGAGCATCTTCTGAAAAGAATGGAAGCTGTTATAAAGGCATATGACATACACTAAGTACTGAAAAATACAGGTAACACTCTACTGTAGGGTATAGCTCATAAGGCTACATGACACCTACATAAGCTTGCCATGATAACTGATATAGACCTACATAAATGTTTATTAATGCTTATTCCAATAGGCGTCATCTGTCATAAAGGCTACTTTGATCAAAATTGGCAAAAGTAACTTTTATAGCGAATGACGCCAATTGGAATAAGCATTAATAAACAATTTATGTAGGGTTATATCAGTTGTCATGACAAGCTTATGTAGGTGTCATGTAGCCTTATGAACTGTACCCTACAGTAAAGTGTTACCAAAATATGATATTATATTTAATTGTTTAGGCTGTGCAATTTCCTGTTAAATATATTAAATATTTTTACTGAACACTGAAAAAGGGTCTCTGATTTTTGCACAGATTTTTTTTTTTGTAAAACTGCTTTGTGACACTTTTTTACAACACCTGTTGTAAAAAAGAACTAGACAAATAAACCTGACTAGACAGCCCTATATGTGACATTATTAATACAAAACTGCATATACACAGACAAGCCAACAGCCATCAGGGTTTCATAAGAAATGTCCATTTGCACCTCTAGCAAGTGGAGCTGGGTTTCTGTTAAATATACCGCACTTATTTTGTGGCACTGCTTAATTACTTAATTCAAAAAAAGCTCCTTACTTGTACTCACTATATGGTGACACTGACTCTGCAGTTTAATGATTCTTAATTTTAAAAAGCGCAAAATCCCCAAAACTATGGTTTCAGGGTTAACCAAGAAGAATTATGATTCAATTCATTCAACAGACTTAATCTAATTAGTGCTGCAACTGGAGAAAGGGAGCTGCGTTTCGTTTGTCTTTTTTTTCCCTTCACAAAATCCCAAAATGTGTGAGGTTTTATGGTGACGCATTGCAGCTTGTGAATCATTCATGTGGGCAGAGTTTAAAGGATAATATTTTATTTGAAGGTAAATAAAAAGTGCACGTGAAGCTTTAGCCTGGCTAAGTTAGTTAAAGCGGGCAGCTTTATCCCGATTCCATCAGCAAGCACTGTTGTCCAAATGTAAGCACAGAAACTAGTCAGTGAGGCAGTTTCAAACCCAAGATAAACCTCTGTAAGGTAAGCGTTGTTTATCTTATGGACGTTGTTACAGGTTTTGCAAGAGAAGTGGAGTTGTGTGTTCGCACAGGGCACAGTGAGGGAGAGGGAGGACTGAAACACCAGGACATGGGCTCTGACATCACAACCCTGGGACAAAAACTTTACAGCCTCCTGGAAGCTCTGTGTGGCAGAAATAACAATTCATATGGTTTCAGTTGTTCTTGGTGAACTTGACAGCAGGGGTGGGCGATAAGGCAAGAAAATAATATCCTGATACTCGCTTTACTGAGCTTTGGTAAGCTGGAACAGAAAGAAGCCCTGGTAGTGTCACATTAAAAAAAATAC